TTATGTCCGTCCGTTCTACGATTAGTATGTATTTTATTGTTGTTGTCATTGTTGTTGTCGTTGTTGTGTTGGTTATTACCATTGTTGTTGTCGTTGTTGTTGTTGTTCTTATAATTATTATTGTTGTTTCCTTGTCGTTTTTATTTTACTGAGGTAGTAGTAGTAGCAACAGCAGTTGCAGCCAGGCCCGGAACTAGGAGGGGGCAAAGGGGGCAAGCACCCCGGGCGGCAAATTTTAGGGGCGGAAAACTTTAGACATTTTTTTAAAATTTGAAAAATTTATTCGCATTTGTTATAATATGGATGATGGATCAAAGTAAATTTGATTTTTTTATATTACTCGTTTTAATTTTTTTTAAATTTTTTTTGGTTTGTTTTTTTTCTATGTAAAGATTAAAATATAAACGCAATTATGAGCAGAATCTTTATCTTATTTCTTATTTGTAATCTTTCCCTTATTTGATTTAAAATCACGCCGCGAAAAATATCGTATAGTAGGTTAGTTTAGTCGTTTTCATGTTAGAAAGTAAAATTGGATGGCAGAAAAAAACTTAGTGGAGCTGAATACAGAAGAATTGCTAAAGAAAAACGAAAAAAAGAAAGCGATGTGCTTTCACTAACGCCAAAATTAGAAACGTTATTCAACAAATCTAATGTTAATGTTAGTATTATAGTGAATAGTGATAAAGAGGGCTCAAAAGAAAAATCAGGTAAATATTTTTATTATTTCAAATTTTATTAATTGAATAATGGAACATTATGCACAATGTGTATTAATTATGCATCCTTTAGAATAAAATAATTTTTTTAAATATTTCGTTTTTAGATGATATGGAAGCTAAAGAAAAGATCAAGGAGAAAGTATTTTGGTTCAACTTCAATCCAACAAATGAAACTGTAGAAGAATTATTACCTCAACAAGACCCCACAACTAGTCTTCAAAAGACATCTAAGTTCCCTTTTGATTTTAGTGATCTTGGTTCATGGCCACAAAGTTTTTCTGATTCAGAAAGATGTTTCATAACAAAAATGAGATTTGAAAATTTAACTGAACCAAATTTGAGTAACAGTAGCCGAGAAGGACGCAATTTAACCAAAGACTGGTTTTATAAAGTTCTCAAAAATGGAGAAAAAATGAAAAGATCATGGTTAACCTATAGTGAAAGTAATAAAGCTCTCTATTGTATTCCCTGCAGACTGTTTCCACACTTAGCTTCAAATCAAATGTCTTCTTTAGCTAAAGAAAAAGGACTTACCAATTAGAAAAAACTTAATGAAAAGTTGCCTGAACATGAAAATTCATCTAACCACAAACTTTGCTTTTGCTCTTGGAAAACATTAGAATCTTGTTTAGTAAATGGAAGTATTGATGCAGAACTCCAAGATCAGATCCAACAAGAAGAGTTGCATTGGAAAGCGGTATTGCGCTGTATTGTAGATGCTATTCTATTCTTAGCAAAACAAGGAAGTCCATTTCGAGGAACTAAAGAAAATTGTGATTTCAGCAACCCATCTAATGGAAAGTTCTTGAATACAGTTGAACTTATTTCGCATTATAATGTTCCTCTTCAACAACACATTGAGCGGCATAAGAAAGGACAAATATCCTATTTTTCACATAAAATACAAGATGAGTTTTTAGAAATTATTGCTAATAACATAAAGCAAGGAATAATACAAGACATTTTGGATGCAAAATATTTTTCCTTAATATTTGACTGCACTCCGGATATCAGTCGCAGCGAACAAATGACACAAAAGATACAACTGAAATAGAAGAAAGTTTTATTGATTTTTTTAAAGTTAGTGGCAAAACAGGTGAAGGTCTCAGTCAAGAAATTTTGAAAAAATTAGATGCAGATGGACTTAACTTGGAAAATTGTAGGGGGCAATCCTATGACAATGGAACAAATATGGCTGGAAAATATAAAGGAGTCCAGTCCAGATTATTGCAGAAAAACCATCTGGCATATTTTGTTCCATGTGCTGCACACTCTCTCAATTTGGTTGGTGCTAATGCAGCTAGTGCTACTGTCCAGGCTCAGAATTTTTTTGGAACTTTGAACAGCTTGTATTCTTTTTTTGCACTTTCAACTTCACGTTGGGAAGTTCTCAAAGAAAATGTGCCGATAACATTAAAACCTGAAAGCAAAACAAGATGGTCTGCAAGATTAGATGCAGTCGAAGCTGTATATAAACATTATAGTAAAGTTCTGCAGACTCTAAAAGATCTTAAAAACTATGATTTCTCAACTCCTCAAACTGTGAATGAAGCCAGCTCTCTTTTGAATAATATTCAAAAACTTGAATTTATTGTGATGGTTAGATTTTGGCATGCATTGTTAGAAAAGATTAACCATGTAAACGAATTTTTACAAAAAAAAGATTTAACAGTTGATTTGGCTGCCCGAAACCTCAAAGGTCTTTTGACACTTATGAAGTCTTGCAGAAAGTCTGCACCATCTGAGGCCATTGCTGAGGGTAAATTGTTAGCAAAAATGAATAATCTAACATCTGCATTTTCAGAAAAGAGACCAAGAATGAAAAAAAAAATGGCTGATGAATTGTGCAATGATGAAGCTTTGACAAGTGTTGAAAATATGTACCAAGTGACTACGTTAGAAATCATTGACAGAGTGATTACAGAACTTAGTGACAGATTTGAATCTTTGAATAATGTAAACAGTATGTTTGGGTTTTTGAGTGGTGTTAAAATTGAAGAAATGCAGACAGCAGATCTATAAATTAAAGCCGAAAATTTGGCAAATATATACTCAGCTGATCTCATCATTGATGAATTCATGTCATGTTTGAAATAGAAAGTTTTAAGCATCACGCTTTGACAGTTGACAAAAGTTTAAAAAAAGCCACATCAAAAGAAATGCTAAGTCTCATTTATAAAAATAAATTAGAAGAAGGCTACCCTAACATCACTACTGCATTGAGAATCTTTCTCACGTTGCCTGTCACAGTGTCATCTGGAGAACGTAGTTTCAGTAAACTAAAAATCATCAAAAACTACATGAGAAGTACAATGGGACAGGGGAGACTTTCCAATTTAAGCATAATTTCAATTGAACACAAACGAGCATCTCTTATCAATTTTGATGATATAATCCATACATTTGCAGCTAAAAAAGCTAGAAAGATTTGTTTCTAATATAATATAATATAATATAATATACGAAACAATTACTTGATAAGTTGACAAATGACATTGTTTGTAATACAAAGTTTTTCAATTTTTCACGTTTTATAACTATACTATAGTTGTTTTTTTTCTATGTCAAGTATCTGTGTTAACATGTATTTTGATATGTCCATAAATAAAAAATTTTATTAAGAAACATGTAATATGTAATTTAAAAAAATGCATTTATACACCTTACGGTAGTAGCATAATAACGTCGTGGGGGGGCAGCACACTGATTTTTGCCCCCCCTGGAAAATACCCTAGTTCCGGCCCTGGTTGCAGCAGTAGTAGTAGTAGTTGAAGTAGTGGTAGTAGTAGTAGTCGTAGCTATAGTAGTAGTAGTTTACTTTTTTCAGCCTGGCAACCATTGCAAACCACCATTCGTTACAACGTTAAATTTGAGTTTATGCTTGATATATATTTAAGCATTTTGATACAAACATTGTTGTATAATGTATATGTATGTATGTTTGTTTTTGTTTGTTTGTTTGTTTATTTGCTATTTCATTTTTTCATTATTTCTTGAGTCATAAATCATCGCAAAAAAGTTATACCTCTAGAAAAAAATTAATTTTTTATCTTGTTTGAAAAAAAAATTTGAAAAATTGAAATGAATGAATGAATTAATGAACGAACGAACGAACGAATGAATGAATGAATGAATGAGGAAGCGAAGGAAAAAGAAAAAAAACTAAAAAGCTTCAAGCTTCAATAAGCATTTACATACTAAACACTCACACATTTAGACACACACAAACAAACACACACAAACAAAAACAGACAAATACACAAACAAACAAACAAACACACAAGCAAACAAACAAACACATATTCATACACCGAAACACACCAAATGTCAAACAGATGAATAACAAACCGCCAAACACGTACTGCATGCTAAATAAGGGAAGAATAATGATGACGTTGATTCAAATATATAGCTATATATATCCATAAACATGTGCGTGTGTGCGTGTGTGTGTGTGTGTGTGTGTGTGGTGTGTATTTATTTGAACCTATTTATAATTAAACATCCATGCAAATATATATTTATTGGTTCGCCAAAATTTTTGAATAATTTTTTTCAGCTCAGGCCGAGACGATGTGCAGGTGAACAAACATACAAGGATACATACAAGAAAACATACATACATACATGCATGCATACAAACAGACAAACAAACATACATACATACATACAAACAAACATACATACATACAAATTATATACATACAACACCCTCTTATAAAGATATCTTGATAGTTTGTCTCAACACACGATCATTTGAAGTATGCTGTTGTTAATAATAATAATCACAATAATAACAACAACGAGAATGACGCAGCAACAATAACAATAATAAAATTATGATAACTATAACTATGACGCAAAATAATAAGAATAACAATGAACAATAAAAATAAGAATAAATAATAAGAATAATAATAAAAACAATATCATTAATAGTTTAAATGTCAGCGCTCAGTCTGGAAGGTCGAAAGCAGAGGCGCCATAAATTTAGCGCCAAATAATTTCAAATTTTATTTCTTCTATTTATAACTTTCGAATTGTTATAGTAGTAGTAGCGGTAGTAGTAGTAGTAGTAGTGGTGGTGGTAGTAGTAGTAGTGGTAGTGGTAGTAGTAGTAGTAGTAGTGGTAGTAGTAGAGGTAGTAGTAGTAGTGGTATTAGTAGTAGTAGTAGTAAAAGCAGTAACAGTATTAATAGAGGTAGTAGTGGAAGAAGTATTAGTAGAAGTAGCAGTAGCAGAAGTTGTAGTAGTAGAAGTAGTAGAAGCATTAGTAGTAGTAGTTGTAGTGGTAGTAATAGTAGTAGAAGAAGTTGTAGTAATAGTAGCAGTAGAAATAAATTTTTTTCAATATTTGTTCCTTGATGCGAATGAGCTCGTAATGTGCATCTGACGTGTTGTCCAAATGAATTTCTATCGTAAAATACTTTTTATTATTCTTGTTTTTCTTCTTATTTTCACTTTCTATCTATTATTATTATTATTGTTATTAATATTGTTATTATTATTTTTTAATTCTATTTAATCTTTTTTTCAACCATTTTATTCGTCCTTTCTAATTCTCCTTTCTTCTCAATTCGTCGCTGGCATCATTTTTCTGTTCTTTTTAAACACTCCCTCAATTCTACTAGCTATTTCTGTTTTCACACACTCTCTTCTCTCTCTCTCTCTCTCTCTCTCTCTTTTTTTCTCTCTCTTTCTCTATCTCTCTCCTCTCTCTCCTCTTTCTCTCTTTCTCTTTTCGTCCCTCTCCTTACTCTCCTTCTCTCTTTTTCGCACTTACACATACACAAACGCACTCTCTCAAATACGCTTGTATAAATAATTTATCTATTCGTTATTTTTCAAAGAAATTGTTACATTGTTCATGAAGCGCTTAATGTTTTTATTTTCTGAAAATTTTTCCCTTTTCCGGCCGAAATTTTTATTGTTTTTGGTTATGAAGAAAAACCGTTTGCCCATTGGCTAAGACAGAAATGACGTTTTTGTGTTTTTTTTTTCCTTCAATTTTTCGATTTTTTTGTGTACATCTTTTAAGGTCTTCATTCATTCATCTCTCTCACTCATTTGTTCTTTCTCTCATTCATTAATTCATTTATTTATTCACTCGTTCACCCTATCAGTCACTCACTCCTTCATTCCTCAATAAATGTACGTGTATTCATATTTCATTCACGTTGCTTTCTTCACCAACCACATCATCATCATCACCACCAACAACAATGCAATCATCATCATCACCGACGGCGCAGTCATCATCAGCACCACCGCCATCAACACGTTTAAAAGTGAACCGCCATTAAAAGCATCCCTCAAGCAAGAAAATTGCTCCAACTAAGCCATTCAGCAATACGTTGTACACACAGCGATAATAAAAATAACACCTACATTTGCAGTTGCGCGCTATATCATTTTTCATCATTATAATTTCAATTAAGGACATTACTATTATTATCAATTTTAGTAGCAGTAGTAGTAGTAAAAGAGGTAGTAGTAGTAGTAGTAGTAGTAGTAATAGTAGTAGTAATAGTAGTAGTAATAGTAGTAGCAGTAGTAGTAGAAGCAGTAGTAGTAGTAAAAGAGGTAGTAATAGTAGTAGTAGTAGTGGTAGTAGTAGTAGTAGTAGTAGTAGTAGCGGTGTAAAAGTTGGAATAATTTTTCTAATTATCTAAGAGTTGTCAGCGGGTATATCTATATGCCTCTTGTGCTCCATATTTAGTAAATGATGATGGTGATGATGAAGAAGAAGATGATAATCATGATAATCGTGATGATGATAATCTTTCTTTCTTTGTTTTTCTCTCACTTTCTTTCTCTCTCTCTCTCTCTCTTTCTCTCTCTCTCTCTCTCTCTCTCTTTATATATATATCATTCTCGTCGGCTTCCCCGCTTATATTTTATTAAGCATGAATAGATGGGGAGCAGTTTGTCGTAAATATTACCTTATTATGGTTATTATTATTATTATAATATTAATATTATTATTATTATTATTATCATTATCATTATTATTATCATCAACACAATCATGAAATCATCAACGTTATTATCTTTATAGCCAACGTCGTCGTCATCATCACCATTATTTTCATTAACTGTTACAATTTCATCCACATATTATCGTCTAGTACTTTGATGGCATTTCAAATAAATGGTTATTCATGGAATGTAGAAGCAGTAGTAGTAGTAGCAGCAACAGTAGTAGTGGTAGCAGCAGTCGTAGCAGTAGTAATGGTAGTAGTAGTAGTAGTAGTAGTAGTAGCAGCAACAGTAGTATTAGTAATAGTAGTAGTAGTAGTAGTAGTAGTAGTAGTAGTAGTAGTAGTAGTGATCTTTTCAGTTATCGTTCCTGAAAAATTTTCTTCCATACTAGCAAAACCTCAGCCATAAAGTAATTCGCCATCTGATAGTATATCTGATTTTTCAGTATTTTTGATTTTTGGTTCTTTATTTAGCGCTGTTTTTATAATTTTTGGTGTTTTAACTCTTTTGTAGTTTTACTTTTCGGGGTATTTTAATTTTTTGGTTTAGAAAATTATGAATAAACATGAATACGGGAAAGATAAATGAATCGGGATAAAATTAAAAAACAACAACTACTACTACTACTACAACAACAACTACTACTACTACTATTACTACTACTAGTACTACTATTACTACTACTAATACTACTACTACTACTACTGATAATGACTTCATCAACAGCAGCAGCATCGTCATTAGGTCCAACAACAACAGCAACAACAGCAATGTTACTAGAAAAAATGTATTTACATTTAATGGGTAATATTGGAGGAATAAAATTTATAATGGTTACACGTGTTGTTGTTGATGTTGATGTTGTTGTTGCTGTTGTTGATATTGTTGATGTTGTTGTTGATGTTGTTGATGTTGTTGTTGATGTTGTTGTTGATGTTTTTGTTGCTGCTGATGTTGTTGTTGTTGATGTTGTTGATGTTGTTGTTGTTGATGCTATTATCATTATAACACTGATATTGTTGAAAATTTAAAAATAAGGA